GTCATCACAGTATTTGAGGGTGGGGCATCATTGACATCACACTGCAACTTGTTTGGTAAGTTTGAGTTGAACTGCATTTTACCAGCACCATACAATGACGTCATACAACTAAAGTCACATCTGACATTAATTCAAATGGGATTGTGAATGCATCAGCTGGAGACAAGAAACGAGGAAAGAAGAATGAGATCACAAACACAAGAGACGAAGGAAGATTTACAAAGGAGCATATTTTTAAGATGGTTGCCGAGAAATTATAGGCCAAGGAAGTATTATATAAGTTGTAATATGATATCATTTCATTATTGATACTAATGATAGAGACAGGTTGCTTTCAAAACACATATGCTGTGATATGTCAATTTAATCTATTTTTTCATTTTACAGTTTCATATTTTTTAATGTTCAAGTACTAAAGATTTGAATTATCTATTTTTTCAACACATTATCCGATAACGTTACAAACAAAAAATATATTATTGATTGTGTTAAACAACATGTAGCTGACTTGTTACAATTTCCACTTCTTCGGGATCAAGTGTTATATTAAGAGAACCAAACCTTTCGAATACAATTTATTTTCAATCAATTTCTTCAATTTTAATTGTTAACATCAATACCTGTATGTCCTATAGCCACAGAAGCGAATTCACTGAGAAAACTGAAACATTTCAAAAAAATAAGCCAACACTTTTTTCAATTGAAGAAAAGGATAAATCAATAAAAGAAATATCAAGATTACTAAATATCACAGAACAAACCACAGCATACAAAACCACTGATTATGTTAACAATTAAATGAATAAAATGTTGTCTAAAAAACAAATACTTGAGTTCATTCACAATAACACATTTATTGAACCAGTTGTTCCGAAACCCATTTAGGAAAGCAGGGTTAACCTTTCAAATGACGACCTAAGAAACTATATTAAAAGCATTTAATCCCTACTCAACAACGACCACAAGTACTGCAACAAAAATAAGTACAATCAGATTGTCTAGGGTTCTCCCATCATTATTATTAAACGTGGACAAGCGTGGTTTTGTTCCATTTGTTGACACAAAAGAACAAACAGTAAATTGCGATTTTTTAAAACCCCCACACAACAGAACACTCTGTCGATAGAACCATTAAAAAGTAGTTTGGTTGCTGAAATATTCAGTAACTCGACAACACTGAAACCAATGTTAATTGTCCCAAGAAAAACCGTTTAAAATGAAATTAAACAGTTTGAAATGTTCGATTCGTTGGTGATTGTGTTCCAAATAAATGGGTTTATGAATGAAGAGATCTTGTTGTTTTGGGAAGAAAAAAAATTATTTACGGTTTTTGAAAAAAAGAAAAAAATAAAAAGAAGGGAATGGGGTGTGCTAATCATGGATAGTATGGGGTTACACTTTACCGAAGAAGCAGTTGAAGGTTTCAACAAAAACATGATAGTTATTTTCAGTTGTGCCCTCATTCAAGTCATCTGACATAACCATTAGACTTGGTTATTTTTGGCAACAAAAAAGTTTGTATTCATATCAGATTACGTTGTTGTTCTGACTGTAAGAAATTCACAGTTACCCCGAGTTGAAAGAAGTTTTAAAGATTGGTAAAAAAGAGGCAAGTAATGAAATTATTTCAGAGACTGAAGTGATTTCCGTTTTGAAAACAATTGGTAAGACAGAGAAGTTAGTTAAAACCAAAATCACCAAAAAGTACTTAACAACCTTTTCTCTGAGTGATTGATCAAAGCAAAATTGATACAATTTTATTTGAGTGGTTTGACAATTCAGATTGTTTCAACTATGATTTATTGTGATTGCACTACAAATGAAATGAACATTGTTAATGACTTTAACAAAATTGGGTTTGTTCAATATCAAAAGACTATAATAAAAGTAAAAAGTAATACATCACCAGATTCAGGTTTTGTGCAAAAAGTATCTTCGTTTATGAAGAAATTTGGTGAAACCTGTATCCAAAATGAAGATAAAATTTCGAGTTTGTTGGTATAAGAAAAGTGACAATCGCGGATCTTGTAAAAGAAGAAATATCCGAAGAAGATTGGTTGGAAAAGACTAAGATGAGTTTGATTGTTCTAATTGTGTTTTAACACCAATGAAACAACTAAAAACGATTTGGAGTTTTTTATTATTTTTGTGATTCGTTTTTAATAATTTAATGTAACTTTTACTATAGTTTAAATGATAGTAAAAATGTGTTATAAATTTACATTTATTGATCTAACGTTATAATTAATTTCTAGATTTACTAAAAATCATCATTATCCGTTTATCCTAGTTATTGCAGGTAAAACATAGTTGAATTCGTCATATTTGGTTTGTAAAATTGTGAATTGAATGGAATATCATTAACATGACTTAGATTTCAACAAGTAGAAGTCACATTGGATATTAATACAAACTATATTTTGAATATTTCTTAATTGTGTTGATTTTACAAACAGTTGGAATTGACTGATTTCTCTACAATAAAAATTAATAATAGTATATAAATAAAATGTGATGTTATAAGAAGTGCGTTTTTATTCAAATTTTCAAGGACAAGGCAACCATGACATCATTTTGCAACATGCTTTACATATTTGTTAAACACAACATAAAAACAAAAAATGTAATTTGGTTAATAAATTATATCTTCTTTATCCTCTTTATCCTCTATTTATTATTTATGTAAATTTGGATTTTTTTGGTTATAGTTGTTTTTAATTAATAAATTTATAATTGATAATTGTTCTATTTCAAGCCGCTAACAAATTGTATAATTTACTATATTAATATACTATAATTTACTATAACAATTCTAATTAACCTCTAAACTACAAATTTATTATTTTCATATAATTAATTTTACTACTAATTTTAAGGAATAATTCATAAACATAACTTAATATCCTAAAATAAAAAGGTATATTTTTAAGCATACATACAGACCGACAAAACTCAAGGAATAATCAAAAAATACTTAAGTACTATTTTAATTATTTAATTATATTATTTTTCAAATGAATATAAAATAGTAAAAATTAATAACAAATTAATTTATGTTACAACACAATACAAATTGACTTTAAATTGAAGTTTACATATTGAACGGAGTTTAAATTGAATTCATTTTCTAAACTGCTTAAATTCTTATGATAACAAATAATCTTCTCAACTAATATGAAATATAGCAATAAAAAACATTCTAAAAATACAAAGTTTATTACACTAATTATATTAAGTGTTATTGATAAATTAATTATTTAATAACTTTAACTTATAATTTTATTAAAATAAATCAAACATGAAATGAGTTTAACATGTTATGATTCTAAAAAACTGGAAATGTAAGTATTATAATTAAATATAATTTAACTAATCTTGGTAGTAAATTATGCAAATTAAATATAATTCAGTGTTATTGATGTTTTTTTCTCAAATTAACATTACCAAAAATTTTTTAGTCTAATCAAAACTTTTCAAATTTTATGAGTAGGGGGTCATAAAATCTAATATCGAGCTTACAACAGCTTAAACATCGAGCTAAATTCAGGAATAGTAAAACAGTTTTTTCAATATTTACATTTTTTGATTCTTAATATTCAGTCTTTTTTTCTAAGACTGCTTAAAAAATATGTTTGATTATTTCTAGATTCTTATATTGTAATATCATATTTTTGTTTCACGGTTTTATACATGAACATTAAAATATCACATTTTAAAATGGTATATAAAAATTTTTGGAAATATCGTGTTATTACAAACTATTAAAAGCTGTGGTAATAATTATTATAAATTAATAATAAAAAATTTAAAAAAAAATAAAAAGTGAAAAAAGAGATGGCCATTTATTTATAAATATTTGGCACTTTCCTTTCCCACTTTCACCTGTTTATCAAAAAAATATTTGCCTCGATTGTTTTTTGAAGGAAGTCCACTTTTCAGCCACTGTTTTTGCATCCGTTTCACCCACTTTCCTTGTCCGTACTGCGTGGACGCGGATGTGGTTTCCCTTCGCTTGGGGGGGGGGGGGGGGGGTCAGGGGGATCCGCGCCAAGGGAGGACTTGGAAAGTGGGTGAAACGGTGCACAAACAGACTGTATGAGTGCGTCTTTATGATCCTTCTTTTCAATGCTCCGTCTCACTCGGTTTCCACTAAATCAAGGTGATTTTTCGGCATTTCCTGAATTCGGGAACCAGACCTAATATTATCCAAAACGCCCATTTACTATAATTATAATAAAAAATTATAAAATATAGTAAATTAATTCTATATTTAGACGGGGTGAGGGTGGGAAAGGTCTGCCCCTGAAACTAGATATTTTAGGGATTCATGAGGATTGTTAATTTTTCTGAGGATGGTAAATATCTTAAACATAATTTCTTTCAATTTAGATTTTTTTGCCTAAGATCAAAAAGGTATATTTTGAAACACATGATTTTCTTTAAAAATGCTATTTATGGATTTTTTAAAAGATGATTCTTGGTGTTGATTTTTACAAAAAAATAATCTATTTCTATTTTTTGATTTACCACAAGACTAACCTTGGTTTAAATGAAAACATTTGACAGACATTTAATTATCGAAAAAGTCGATTTTTTTATCAAAATCACAAAACAAATTAATCGAACAATTTTTAATCTTTTTTACAAAAAATACAATTTATTAAAAATCAATTCATGATATTTCAAACAATAAAAATTGATAACAAATAACGTACTGATAATTAATACTTTATGCGATGACAATTTATGTATTTGCGCAAATTCAAAAAGAGAGGTTTTGGATATCGATAAAACAACGACTGATAAATAAACAAATTTTTAAAATAAAATCATTTTTGTTTTAAACGGTTTTATTTATATTTCAAAACATATATACACAAGAAATATATGTTTATATTA